CCCCCGACTCAGTGTTCTCGTTGAGGTTTACCCCACCATCGTACTGAGGGAGATCAGCTCTGATACCATGTTTGTTACGACAAAAGCTCATGGCACGTATTGTCCGCATTGGGCTTAGGCCCGCACGGATTTGTCTTTCGGGTTGAGCCACATCGAGCCCCAAAAGTGCGTGTACCATGTGAATTTGTGTCATGCCTTATAAAGTTCTTTATTTTCCTCTCCCATTCAAATGTTGGATTCGCCCAAGGTGTTTTGCCAGCCTAGAAGCCTGTCAATCCTGTTTGACCCGCCCTCATCAGCCTGCCCTCCATCATGGGCATCACGGGAAACATCAACCCGAGACATGAAATAAAACTTTAAAACCAATGTAGTCCTAAATCTAAACCCACCTACTAGACGAATAGTAACAAATTGTTTATGTAAAATCTTGTGTAAGCTACTGCTCGTGGCGCTTGTTTGAAACTTCCTTTATTCAATGGAAGGTGAAGTTTATTGCCTCAATGTAATTTGATCAGCGAGAATCGTCTGCGAGGAGATTGAGAACTGTTCCTCTTGCCTGGGGACACGGTTTACTCTTGCCTAGCTAATTCAGAAAAGCACACTGTGACATAGTGAAAAGGAAATTTATCTATTTGCTTATGATGTTTTGCACTAGAGTGCAAAGGAAATCAATATCACATCCTCCTGAATATAGCATGTAAAAACTTTAGGTCCCTTCCATTGTGTCCTAATAAAGAAACTTCAACAAGAGGCATCACACCTTCACCTCCAAATATTGGTTTCTTGTTTTTTGGTGCCCCAAAACAATGAATGTAAAGGAAATGATATAATGTGAACTAAAAACTCAATCATAATCTACAAATGATTTCCCAACTCCAAAGTTCACCAAAGAGCTGCTGGCACGATTACAATCCACAAATTACAAATAAGAAGAGTCATCAAGTTAGCATCTTTCAGCCTTGCAGTACCATACTAAGACAGCAAAGAAATTGAAGCTTCAGTGAAAAAGTTGAGTCTGTGACATTGGTGAAATTTGAGAAGAGGCAGATGGCAGTAGTTAAGAGTTATAAAACATAGCTCCATTTTTCTTTCAACTTCACAATTCCTCTCTATTGCAGCAGCAGTTCTGAGCATTCTACACCATGATGTTCAAAGTGGCAAAGAGTTTGACCTTCCGAGGGAAAAGGGGAAACATTCCACTTGTCCCATTCTTGTCTTCTTGAATAGTGCATCTCCAAAGGATAAAACAGTGATTAAGCATCCTATAGGGAAGGTAAGTTTCTGGAAGTAGTAACTACCAGATTAGAGTTTGTTTAATAATAAGAGCTTTTGCAACATTAGCTGGAACATTATCCCTTGCATCATCTAAGGCTTTTGCATCATATCTGCCAAGATGGAACATATCTGTTCTCTCATAGCATCCCTGTTATTTGCATTGAGTGTGAAGACGCTAGCTCCTGGATGATTTCTCATCCTCGCTACTGCAAAAATCCAAAAACTTGTTGGTTTACTTTTTCTTTTAGAAAGTAAAAGAATGTTGGTTTTGTAAGTCCAACATTCAGGGAAAACATAGAAGGAGGTCAAAGCAGAGAATAAAAGACAAACGGGTGTATTTGGTATTGAGGATATTTCCCGTGTTGGTTGGCTTAAAACGTTTGGGAGAATATTTTCCTTATGAACTTATTTTCCTCTAATTTCAGGAAAATGACTTCCCTACCAAGAGGAGGGAAAACATTTTCATAACTCTCCAATTAATGGTTTCAACCTTCCCTACCCCTACCCCAAATCCACTCATCCCCGCCACCCCACCACCTGCTCACCTGCACCCCAACAACCCCTGCCACCCCATGCCCCCGCCTGCTACCCACCCCTGCCCACTGCCCCACACACCCACTCGCTTCAGCTCACCCCGCCTCCCATAGTGTTTGCCTAAAATATAAAAATGATCTTGGGACAATATTCTCAGCTTACTAACCAAACACAAGAAAATCACTTATTTTCCAGGAAAATAATTTCATACCAAACATTCCCAACAAATTAACAATTTATAAGATTTGTGAAAAAATGACCAAGAAAAGAGGCATGAGTTGATTATGCGGAGAGGTCAAGCAGAGAGCTTATGTATATCCATGTACAGGCAGAATTGTTTGGCAAACACAGTTGTGGAGTTTTTAGCCTTAGCTTCTGACTTTAACGAAGGTAAATAGTAAAAGAAGTTCGATTAGCATCTTTTGCAAAACCTTTCTTTTTTTGACTATCGGCGAGCTGCCCCTTTAGTTACTCTAGACCCTTGCATTAAATCTATATGGCCCTAATACCACTCTAAAATAGAAGATATTTCTTCTATGAATATGAATCCGTAGTATATAGATAGATACTGGGTGATTGATTTGGAGTTGGCATATAGAATTACCAGTGTGATCGCGATAAAAGTAAGTTCTTGACTTACACAAAAGCACAACATACAGATAGAGGGAAATACCTCCAGGTATATCTCGGCCTGCTTTTGGAGTGGGGATAGAAGCCAAGAGTGGGATATTGGATTGCAGGACCTTTAGTACAGCTGGAAAGAATGAAGAACTGTAGAGCTCCATCTTCCCAACTTCATCGATTATGAAGAGATCAGTATCTTCCCTTACCTAACAAATTTATGAACCATCAAATGGAAAAATACAACCTACTACAGTCAGACAAGTCTTTTATTTATTTGATGAAGTAAAGATGAGACAAATTAAATGTTTTATAATTTACAATCAAGATAAGCTACTAAAGAAGAGCCACAAACAAAGTTATCGCTCAAAGCAAAGGACAGCAATGTCAGAGACCCTCTTATGAGGCACTAAAATCCTGCTGAAAAACTCAACCAACCTGCAACTCTGGCAATGCCAGCGACTCAAATGACGTAACATCTACCCTGTATCTTCCCACAGTGGGCCATCTGAGAGACTCTGGGCTGCATGGCTAAAAATGCTTCAGCAAATATGAAACAATTATACAAAAATCATGCCATTATTTATGGGAACATAGTCAGACAATTTAACATATTGCTGACCTAAACTAGAAAACAACCTTAATATATTAGCTATACCTTTTGACATTTTTGTTATCACTTCAAAGAAAATAACTCAACTATAATGAGTCATGCTGCATGTTTTTTTTTTAATCAGGTAAAATACTCATGCTGCACGTGATGATCCAAAATAGGTACTTGAGGAAGAGCATGTTATCAGAAACTAGCAACTTAAATCAAATTTTACATCATTCATCAGAGAAAAAAGGGACTAGTAGATAAACAGCAAATTGTTCAGTCTTCTCATTTCTCCACTGCTATAAACCAACGGATACAATAACAAAAGAAATAGGCTGAACACAACATCTCCATCGCATTAGTACTTTCGATTCATAAAATTCTCGCCAATAATACTATAAATGGCAAGAAATACTTCGAGGCACAATTAATTAGGATATCATTACCATTTTCACAGAGAAATGCATTTTCCGATAACTTGATGGGGAATAAACTTTCTAGAATAAGTACTAGTCTACTAGAAGAAAAGAGGGGGAACCAAGTTTCCAATGCAAATTTGACCTTCAAACGGTCAACGATCACGTGAACTAGAATTTCTAGGATTTTGTAATGATGAAGATGGATTTGGAGAAAAGCGGAAAAAATGGATTAAGTTTTGTATATCGAAGGTGAGGTTCTGAGTCCTGGTCTATGGGAGCCCGTCTGGTTTTCTCGACAGCTCCAGAAGGTTGAGACCGGGACTCATTATCTCTCTTTTTGCTCATTTTGATGATGGAGTGAGCAAGATGATGGGCAAAGAGGTGGCAGAAGGTTCTTGGAAGGGATTTACCGCAGGGTTAGAAGTAATGATAAGTTAGACTCTATCTCTTGTTCGCAGATGATACCCTGATATATGTAAATTTTGTAATGCTGAGATACTCTAATTATCTTACCTGAGACAGGCCCTAATGTGGTCCAAGAGGTTTCGAGGCTGAAAAATCAATCTAAAGATGTGTGAGATTGTACTAATGAGAGAGGTGGACAACATTAAGCAATTACTGCAGGAGATCAACCACAGGATAAAAGCACTTCCAACAACTTATAATAGGGCTACCGCTAGGAGCATCAAACAGGGACCTACAGTTTACATTGTTGTGAAAGAAAGAACATGACAAGTCGAGTGAGGGTAAAGAAAAGGTATTTGTCCAAAGTGGTTAAGTCTTGATCAAGAGTACACTGGGAAGTATCACAACATATTACATGTTCCTCATACTCACACAGACAAGTATAACAGAAAAGTTGGAAAAACTTCAGATAAACTTCTCATGGAACACAAATGATGGGACACAATTTTCATACGGTAAATCAAATGTGGTCACACCCACAATTAGCTGTTAGCTGTTGGAGGGGGCAGAATAAAAGATTTAAGGAGTTCAAAAGAGCATTATTAGGCAAGTGACAAAGGGAAATTTGGGAACGAGGACCAGGCATTATGATGCACGGTGGAGATTCGAAAACAACACTTGACCTTATGGACATGCGGTACTGAAGAGCAACATGAAGGGAGAATGTGACAAATAGCTGGACATATAAAAGGAGATGAAGTAGATGTAGAACTTGGAATGTAGCCCCCAAAAATTTATGTGGGTGTGGGTGCGAAAGAGAAAGGAATATGAGAGCTTTCTTTTTTAATAGAGGTGTTGTTCCAAGCTAATTTGTGTGCATCTCGACTATTCCACCACTACATATTACCTCCAATCGGCACAAGTACCAAGTAACTTCGCCCACTAAGACTTGGGCATATGGGAAAAATTACCTGGTGTATTTTATCTCTATTTATATTTGAACCGTTTGTCTCCAAGTTGCACCCACTTTATTGACCACTAGCTACACCCTTGGGTGCAGCAATATGAGAGCTTTTGGAGGGGTGAATTACGGCTTTGTACAAATTAGAGTATGCCTTTAATTTATATTACTTTTGGACACCCGAGACATTCATGATAGTACAGATAACTGGGTGTTCTTAAGAAACCATACTTTTGTGTAGGTTCTCCACCTTTTATTATACTTTTTTTATAGTATTGTGTAAACATCATCACTAAATTATTACCTTTTTTGGAGGGACATCACTAAATTATTACTTCATCATAAGAAAGTACTACAAACATTATATTTCATAGTCTCAACTTGATATCAAAACCAAGGTTTCTTTATTTTTCCTCTCCTGAGTTCACTCCCCTCAATCTTCTATTGATCTTCTGCACAACTATTCCAACATCAGAGGACTTTTACCAATTGAATTTACCTAGACAAACTACCTCACCTGGAAGGTTTCCTCACTATACCAAAAAGGCATTACCTCTTCTTTTTCACTATGCTAAAAAATCAATACTTCATCTTCTTGGTGGATGGTTCCATTCCATGTCCATCACCCACTCACGATAAGTATTGTTTATGGATTCAGTAAAGCACTGTCACCCTTAACCAGATTAATACTAGTCTCTCACGCCTTGTTCTTGACAACCTTGTGAAACCTCCCAAGGATTGAAAACCTGTCAAAGAAAATGTCGTGACTCACACCATCCAAGGATCACCCCGCTCTTGTCACGCTTCTGTTTCCAGGATTAATGCCACCGGTCAGTGCCATCATTCATAATCTCCCAGCCCCTATTATTACCTGAGGAAGCACATATCAATACAGCTACCTCAGATTAATTCACTTCTCAAACAGCTTATTAGCAGTTACTCTGACACAAAACGGACCTTCTATGTCCTCTCAAACTTCTTCTAACGATCCATCATCCAAGGTTCAAATAGTGGACGGGTCAAGGAAAGAATAACAAGGGCTATAATGGCAGGGATCACTGGCAATATTCTCCTAATGCTTCTTATCCCTTTTCTTCTCCATTGGTTTGGTTTGCAAGAAAATGCTCGAACTGGTAGTGTGGTGTTCTTGGCTGTTCGTACTAAAACCTGTCTAAAGAGTACAAAATCTCTTTCCGTTTTAACCATATCGCTTTGGGATGTCTGAACTGGTTTAAACATACTTTTATGTCCAATCTCTAGCCTGAATCTTATTGGAGTCATGAGCTTAGAGGAGGTTCAACAACCCGTTTGTTACCCAGAAGCCCCAATTTCACCTAGCCAATAAACCCGAATCTTTCATTGTATACCAGTAATTACTGTGGTCCATCTCAAGTCATGACCTGCAATGGTAACCTTCTACTACTATTAAACTTTCCACAAGCACTTCTACTTTTATCCTTTCTTTCTTTAAATTTTTTTCCTTTTGACTGAAAATTTGTTGCTTCAACTTCGTAAATTGAGGATAATGTGCCCAACCTTTCTACGCTTCTTCACTTAACTACCACACTTGGTTCAACAACCAGCACCTCTATATCCACCTTGCATTGTTTTTAAAAGCGAAGAGCCCAAAAAAGTGACAAGGTCCACGAGGCTTGACGAGAAAAAATGACAAGTGAAACGCACAATTTATTGGGATCACGATTCTTCTCTGAAGGCATGGTTTCGCCATGAAGTGATGACCCCTAATTTCGTATCGTTTCATCAATTTAAGTGACAAGCCATAGCTTTTATAAGCACACCTACCATGTATCACCTTTTTTTCTTTTTTTTCACAAAATGTTTAACTCAAGAAAAAATCTATTACCTATTGACTTTATACAAACCTTGAGTCGGGGGTCTATCGGAAACAGCCTCTCTACCCTCAAGGTAGGGGCAAGGTCTGCGTATACACTACCCTCCCCAGACGCCACTCGTGGGATTATACTAGGTTTGTTATTGTTGTAATATTGAGCTTATACAAAGACAATGGTTGTTTACCAATGCACTCAAGATAAAATACCAAAACAAATAGATAAGCCGGATAATGCATGTGTAAAGAAATTACTTAGTACTAATTTTAGGCAGAAATGAGAAGCACCTGGAGATTTTGTTAGAAGCAAGAAGCCCTTTACGGCCATCGAGAGTCACGACCTCAAACCCAACCCTCTCTGTTCCTTCTCTAATCTCCCCTTCACCAAATTCAAATCAACAACTTAGAGTTATTCAATCATAGTATATATTTGTAAATAATACACTCCAAATAGTATAATTAGAGATAATGAGAATATATATACAGCCAATATTATACAGGAACAATGAAGAGAGAGAGAACATACGAGTATAGAAACCTTGGACTTTCAAATTAGGATTGGAATTTCTGAGGGTTTCGAGTACTCTGACTATCAAAGTTGTCTTTCCAACACCCTGCAAACAAAAATGACAGTCAATTTCAGATTTTGATACAAAAATGGATGATAAGAAGCGCAAAAAGAGTATTATTACAGGAGAGCCAGTGACAAGGAAGCATTTTCCTGTAGCTGCCATTTTCGTCTCAGTGGCGTTTTCACACTGAAGAATTAATGATTTTACAGATGGTTCAAGTCTCCACACATCCCAAACCGGAAAAAATCGAGCAAAGATATCAAAATGAGCCGGCGTGAACCGGCAGAAGGATTTTTGTGATTGTTGAGTTTAATGTTTGGTTGGTCCATTTATATCTTGACGTTTAACAAATTGTCTTGTATTTTGCCTTCGCGTTTAACAAGTAAATTTCACCTGACCAAGTTTTATGAGAAATTCTTGGGCCCCATTTTTTAAAAATAATTGGTTTATAGATATTTTAAAATAAAAATATTTAGTACTTTTATTACAAAAGTAGAATTTTTAATATAAAAGAAACAGAGCTCTTTAGATATGTAAATAAAGTAATAACTTGATATATTTATAAATGAGTAGATGAATAGTTTTCTCAAAGTTTCAGTTTTACTCTTTCATTAGATAATGTATACAAAATTTATTCTCCCTTTCTTAATATGTCCAAGTCAATCTTTCTTTTTTCCAATCTCTTCATATTTCAGAAACTCCTACCTATTTTCTGTCTTTCTCTTTAATATTCTTACTCACCCTCTTTCTCCGTGATTTCATTTCTCACTTTCTTTCTCCGAAATTTCATTGCTCCACTGTTCAACAATACCTTTAAGCTTCCAATAATTCTATACTTCTATTGCTCTATAAAATCTTATCTAAGATCAACAATATATATCTCCAGAAAGATTAAATGAGTTGGCTATATTTTCAATTGAATAAAAATAATTAGAGAAAATTGATTATAAAAAAGATTATTAACAACTTTGTATTTCAAAAAAAAAGCTAGAAGAATAGACTTCAAATAAAAACATATATTATAACTTTCTTTTAAAAGTTTAGGCCTCATATTAAACTTTGGCCTTACGCCGCGCATATCCTTGAAACGACCCTGTTAAATTTTGATTATGGTTTATAACTATTTCACTTTGGAGCTCTATTAGGAGCCAAGACAAAAAATTACTTTTTTTTTCTAAAGGTGCGATTAACATTAGAGTAAAGATTAACAACGGATAAAGTTACTTAATTTCGAATAACACATGGATAAATTTGACTATTTTCCTTACATTAAAAGTAAGTACTTCTCCTTTGTTAGGGAGCGCTTTACCCTCCAATGTGAGACTTCCCGACGCGAATCCGGATTTAGTCGGGCCTCAATGTGGGTATCGAACACCGGATGAGAAACCAAAAAAAAAAGTACTTATTTAGAAAATTCATTTACAACGTAATATTGCACCATGGATGTTTGGCATTCTTTTTTAAACAGGTGTGTGTTCTCCTACAAGTGATATATTGTCTCTTATCGTTTTCTTGAGCCGAAAGTCTTTTGAAAACGGTATCCCTATTCCCTCTGAGTAGGGGTAAGGTTTACGTACACACTAGCCTCCCCAAACGCCGCACCTGCAGAATTTTAATGGATTGTTGTTGTTGTTGTGTGCACGCTCCTGGAATGAAAGAAAAACCTTGCTAAGAAGTCCCCTTATTGAATACTTGCAAAAACTAATTTACAAAAACCAAACTAAAACTACATTCAACGCCGCGGGAAAGAGAACAGAATACAGTCGATTAATAAAGGTAAAGTTTCAGAGACCTTTTAATTTTAATATTCTGCATTTAAATTTATTTTCTTAAATTTTCATAAGTGATCCCACATGTTACTGAGTTTCGTGCTCGATTTATACTTAATTTTATTCTAGTATGACTAAAATTGCAAGTCAACAACATATTAGATAAGAAGCACTTCTTAATTCATAGCAAGCGCTGTCATGATGGTGTTTCAAGTGGCTGAATTTAGATTTATTCTTCGAAAAATAGCACTTAGTATGATAAGCTAACAAAATTGTATACCTTTGAAATAGCTTCTTCGGTGGTTATATCTTTCTTTTGGATTGAGGTAAAGGTGTAAACAGTTAACTTATAGAATTCCCTACTTTATAAGCTAAAAATCTCTTACTTTTTGTACAAAATTGATTGAAACATACACATCATGTACAATCAATTTTCTTCCCTGTTAGTCAAGCAACACATCAGTTAGAGATGCCACAGAATCAGAGCAATGTGTGCACATTTTCCTTAGGCGCTATCTTGTTAACAAACATATAACCTTTTCAAGAGCAACCGATTTTAGAATATATTAGGTGGGGTATACACTCTCTACACCTCCCAATAATTACGATTAGTATAATAAAAACAATATCATTGCAAAGACGAAAAACATTTCTTTAGCTACAAGGCGATAAGTCTCTCTTCTCAACGCTCCCACTTATACTTTGTACACTAGTCACTTAATATTAAACACATCAAAGACACAAAAAATGATACCCAAAACAGCATACAATTAAAAACAGAGCAAGTAAAGCACATGGAAATGACACATTACCAAAGAGAAATAGAAAGGGATAAAAAAGGATAAATCTTTGTTGATATCATTGACGCCGCGGACAATACATAACAGACAAATTATTCACATTTCAACTAAAAGGTGGGATACCACCCCAAAAGAAAAGACAACTTGGAATGCACAAGTATTTTATCCGACTGAAAAGACAGGAAGATATTTTTGAACACTTGGTACGATCTATAAGGATGAGATCTGGTCCCACCACCACCATAGAATAAGAAAAAAATCAGACAAGAGAGCTACCTCTAGAAGTCAAAAGAAAACATAACCAGAAAAAGATAAATCAACACCAGAGATATTTTTTGCCAAGATGCTAAATTAATTAATTAGAAAAACACATGATTTCCATATACTGGCCAAGAAAGAACTAAGGCCTATCCGATTTAACATTAAGCTGCAGCATCAAATTAAAAAGTACATAGTCATTTGAGCTTTAAAGGCAGCAATTTCCTAATTTCATCTTTTTCCATACCCTAAGATACCCAAAAAGATAAGCAAAAGACAAGTATTTAATAGGAAAAAGAGGAAGTCATATATGGAAATCTCTAAGATATTACACAGCTTCTCCACCAATTTCTTCATTCGCTAACATTTCCTTCAGTCATCATCTTCCTCCTCCTGAGCAAACAAATTTTCCAAATCAATACCAAAACCAAAACAAACAAAAAACAGTAAAGAAACTAATGATCATTTCATCAACAAACACAAACCTCGTCACTTCCGTCTTCCTCGTCAACCTCAGACTTTGACTTGTCAGATTCCTCCTCTTCAGCCTCACCAGCCTATACAGCAGAACAAATGAAGAGTTCTTTAGAACCAAAACCGCATCATAACATAGAGGGCATAAAGAAACTATACGCAAAAGGTTTTTACCTGTCGCCTGTTATAAGCATCCATGTTCTTTTCGTATTCAGCCTTCCTTTTCTCTGCCTTTGCTATGTAAGGAGCTTTCTCCTATATTATTGTCAAAAACATAATTAGGTATGAGATGATTCAAGAAATCAGACAGCTAATTGACAAAATTTTGACAACTATCCTCAGGCTGAAACAAGTCGGGCTCAGCTACATGAATTCTTATTGACCAGTAGTCGAACTCTTCTTGTGCCAGTATTATGGACATACAAATAAAAATATTATAGAAGTTAAATGCTGAAAAGTAGATACTTACAGCATCTGACAAATGTTTCCACTTGTCGCCACCAGCTTTACCAACCTAGAAACGATTACACGGATAACAAAAACTCAATCAGACAATAAGTCAAACACAAAAAATGGAGAATTCTACAATAACTTTGGATCTGTAAAGGGGAAATACTCACAGCAGCTACAGATTTGTTGTTTGGGTGTTTTTCCTTATACTGCTTCCTGAAGTCCTCCCTTTATTCAACAAATCACAATTAAAAAATACTATTTAATTCAGGATTTACTAAACAGAAAAGTCCACAAAAAAATTAAGACAAGCGTTCAGATGTATACATGAAAACAAAGAAAGCACTTGCTGGCCTCTTAGGCTTGTTTGGATCCTTAGCAGCCTGCTTCTCCTTTTTAGTCTGGGGAGCCGCCTTCTTAACGCCGAGCCTGTAATAATCCATAAAAATCACATTAAAAAAAAATAAAAAACAAATGCATTTTATAGGATTATAGTACCAGAAAATATCAACAGTATGCACGAACAGCCATTTATAAGGAACCAAAATCACATCAAAATCACTAAAATCAACAAAATTATTGATAAATACTACCAAATAACAATATATATATATATATATATATATATATATATATATATATATATATATATATATATATATATTCGCTTATTAAATCGTCAAAATCACATTAAGTACCGAAAAAAATTATACAATATCATAGGCTCACAACGCCGGAAAATATCACAGATGTATATCTGACAAGCTGTAATGATTCTCCAAAATCATATTAAAATCACGATAAACAAAAAAAAAACAGATCCTAAATAAACAGAAAATATCTGATGTATAATAAATAGGCTGTAATAATTAGCCAAAAGCATACTATAATCATTAAAAATCTTATAAAATCATACAGATTCAGAAGAGGCATGAATATCACATAGTCACACATCAATCGTAGATCTAAAACTCAAATACGAATCAATACATCAAAAGGAAAGCAAAAGCAAAAAATATACTCACTTGTTATCAGATTTAGCCTTTGTTTTACCTCCTTTCATGATTAAACCTGCAATAAAAGGAGAAAAACCGGTGAGAATCGGTTGAAATCGGCGTAAACCGGTACGACTCGGCCGAGTCAGGCCCGTAGGTGAGTTAACGAGTTACCTTTAGGGTTGAGAATAATAATATGGTATAGACAACAAGAGAGGAAAAAACAAAGAGTTATATGCCCGTTGGATGTGTGTGTGTGTTGTGGGCTGAAAGGGGAAGAGATAAGAAGGGGCTTTGGTTAGGGACTCAAAAGAAATTTTGTGCACTCATAAAATTGAATATAAGCAATGAAATTTTCAAGTCCGGTTCCGTTTGGGCGGGATTTCAAATATTTGCCACGTCATCGATCCGTGTGACTTGAATCTATTGGATCAAATTTACTGTGCTTTCTATGTGTTTGTTTGGGGGTAGGATCAGGGCCTTTGGGTTGTCTAGTGGAGGAAGAGTGAGGACACGTGTCGGGATCTGGTGATTTAGAGCCTTTTTTGTAAATTGGCTCACGCCTAGTTGTGGTTTAGTATGTAATGACAGTTTTAACCTTATTGTGCTATTAAGGAGAATTGAGGGGCCGTTGTGATGCTATTTGAGAAATCTTGATAAAGATGGAATATTGGAATGTAATACGTCGATCTTGCGTGGTAGGGTTAATATGGTAATTTCACCAGCTTAAAGAGTACTATTCTTTTTTCCTATTTTTGGTCCCTTCTGTATGGAGTACTGTACGCTTTCAAATTGTAGATCTCTATTTCAAAATTCAAATTTCTATGAGTTCGAATTTCAAACTTTTATTTGATTTAATTATAGTGACTAAAATCTGTTATCATAAAATGATCAAGGATTATTTAAAGATAGGTATCATTAATAGCATATTTTTACCTGGAATGGGGTCACCTCTGAAAACTTCATTATTTTGAGATTCTTGTAAATACTGCAACATATAGTTGTTCAAGCGAATATTTTATAAGATTAGCGCTTCTGCAACAGTATCATCTAAATTTAAAGATGATGAAGATGATGACGAGGAGGAGGAGGAATTTTCATCATTATTCTTAGATGAACATCCAGTATAGAAATTCATTTTCAGAAGACAAAGTAGAATATTTGATTTGATTTTGAAATGAATTAAAATCCTAGAGTTAATGTCCTAGATGATGTTCATTTTATAGATTGAAGAATGGTGTAAATATATTTTACTTAAAGATAAATTTGAGATAAGGATGAAATCCATCCAACGGCTGAGATTATGAAGAAATCCATCCGACGGTTGAGATCAAAATAAAATCTAACTATTATATTCCATTCAATAATTGTGTCTACTTTATCTACACATTGAAAAATGTGTAGAGATATTTTACCTAAAGATAAATTTGAGATAAGATGAAATCCATCTGACGCTTGAGATTAGGATGAAAGTCATCCAACGGTTGAGATCAAGAAGAAATCTAAGTATGTATTATGTCAATTTTTGGCTCTACTTATATCTATATATATTAAAGTGCCAACATACCCATCCATATAAAGTTGGCTTTTGCTTTTCTTTGACCATATAATTCACTTTTTTCTCTAATCACTTGCAAAAAATATCCACTCGATCTACATGTTACTCTGCCAATGAAGATATACTATTATGCTAAGTTTTATTTAGATGTTTCACAATATCCAATAACAGGTGTACATAAATCTAGAGAATATTTTTTGGGTCGAGTGGAAGAGGCATACAATAATGCAACGGATAGATGTTGGGAGTAGCGCAATAGAAGATCGGCGCAATCTTGAATTCAAGTTATTGAGAAGGCTATAAGGAAATTAAATAGATGCGTATGTCAAGTTAAAATTTGTGTCCTAATGATGCTTCAGATAAAGATATTGTGAGTATTTATTTTACAATTACTTTTACTTTATTTGTATATATTTACATACAGTTTCCCTTCAATTTTTTAAAAATATTACAGATTAATCAAGCAAAAAATTTACCTATGCAAGATTCGGAGAACAAAAATTGTTTTAAATTTGATTATTCGTGGGATATGTTGAAGGATTTTGAGAAGTTTAAATATATTGATGCTGGAAGAAAAAATCGAAAGTAAGGCTCTTCTTATATACCATCGGAGTCCGAGACTCCTACTCATGATTCACCTTTAGTATCAGCTCTTAACTTATCATCATTTTCACTACATTTGAATGAGGATGTTACAGGTGATTCCACATCATCGAAACGACATATTAGGGGTGAAGAAAGCAAAAATAGAGAGAAAAATCGATGAAGGCTTTTCATATACTGTGATAATGGTCCGATCAGAAAATAATCAGCTTGTTGAATTGTTGGCAAAGTCAAGTGCAGACAGGCGGCGAGATATGGAGATAAAAGATAGAGCTTTGAAACTGAAAGAATTTAAAGAATTAAATTAAAAAAAATTATCGAATTTAGATTCTAATGATGATCCAAATATTTGTGAATTTATTCGGCAAGAACAAGAATGAATAATAGATAAAAGAAGTCAACAATTTTAAGAGCCACAACCACAATCATCCGCCTCATCCATTCAATATTTTAATGATATTGGTCGATCTGGAATCGACCTACCAGAGTACTAAACTATTACTATAATTTTCTAATTTATTATGTCATTTAATTTATTTTCAATTTTAATCTATTACAATCGCTAATTTATTAAATATTAATTTTTATGTTATTCAATGAACATTATGTTATTTATTAATAACATATTATATTTTGTATTTGCACTTTTTATTTTTTTGATGGTTATATTTTTTATACAATAATAACTTATAATAAAATTAACCTACAATTTATATAAAAATAATATATACGAAAATTAATTTATAAAATTATACATCATAATTATGATGTAAAATAATATTATAAAGATATTATATAAAAAAATAATTAGATATAGTAGGGACCTAAACAAAATAAGTAAATATAATATGATAAATTAAACTGTTATATAATAAAAAGTAATAATAATAAATTGATAAATAGTAATGGTATTGGTGGATATTGTTACAACAAAATTGGTATAACACTATTCACATACCAAAATAGCGTAAGAAATGATGTTGGGTTTGAGCACCAAAACACCAAATGTTACACCAAAATATGATTTGGTGTAATATTTTGTGTAAGGTTGGAGATGGTCTAAGGCCTCATTTGTTTTTTATTTTTTGGGATTAAGACGTCTAAATCTGAATACATATCTGAATATGTAGAGGTGTATTAAGATTAAAACATCTGAATCTGAATACACATATGAGTATTAAGATGTGTATTAAGACCTGAATACTAAATGATTAAGACCGTTTGTTTTTTTAATGTCTGAATATAAAAATTTTTGTTTAAAAGTAATAAACATAACATTTAAATAAAATACTAATTAATCTAATATATATATATATATATATATATATATATATATATATATATATATATATATATATATATATATATATATATAGAGTTGATGGATATTTAAAAACCGACCGAACCGTACCATACCAAATCGATTTTTAGGTTTCTTTTAATAAAATCGTAGGTTTTTATATAAATCTATAACCGTACCGATAATTAGGGTAGGTTTTTTATTTTATGAAAATAAACCGAAAAAATACCGAACTCTACCGAATAAATTTACATGTGATAAATATATTTATGTATTAAGTTCAATATAATAAAACATTAAATTTTCCTTGGGTCTTGGAATTATCAAAACAAATTACAAGCCAATAAGTAATAATCGCAAAACTTAATTCCAAAACCTATTATGCTAGTCCCTTTGAAACTAAATTATTTCCAGCATATTCACTAGCAAGACACGAGGTATTTTAGCGGTTACGAGTACAATTAATTATTTATATGTTCTTGAAACAACTTTTGAAAATCTTGACCACGCACTACTACAAGAATAATTTGGTCTAGAGTTAGAGCCCGAATTAGATGAATAATGGTAATTTAGTTATAGTTATTGCTAACGTTGTTATGGAAGAATTGAGAAATATTATTAAAAACCTTTGAAGCTTCTCCTTTTTTTTAAATAAAAATAACTATTACAGTAAAAGAAAAAAAACTTATTTTAAGGTTTTAAGCTGCAAGTCTATAAAATATATGCAAATTGTATTGTAAATCTTAATTCAAAGTTACACTTGATAAATCTAAGGCTAATTGATACTTTTGAGTTTTTTTTTTTTTTAAATGTGCCCAATTACAAAGTTCAATACTTCATTTTGTTTATTTACAACTTGCAAGTTTGATTATTTGAACTTTAAGCTTCAAAATAAATACAAACTTCAAAAAGTAAAATAAAATTTTAATTATTTGGTAGGAAAGAATTTGATGTTGTAAGTTATTCATATCTTGTTTCATTTGTTTATTTTTCATCCATCCTATTAGGAAGAACTTGGGGTTGGAACATGTAATACCCTATATTTTTTATATAAGGGTGTATTAATCATTAACATAATAATAATTATTATTATAAGAAACTAACTATGAAAAAAAAACGGAAAAGAGATAGGGATTTACTAAAAGGGCCGAAGCCCATATGTGACCAAAAAAAAGAGCAAACGAATTAAAGAAAGGGGGAAAACGGGTCTGCTTCAGAAAATGCAGAAAAGGGATTTCAAAAGGGGAAGAAGGAGGAGGAGAGGAGGCTGGAACCAAACCTTAAAAATCTTAAATACGCATTGGTTTTTACGGGTAATACTCGAATTTCTCATCTGGGTTCTTTTCTTCTGGTAATTCTTTTTATCTTAGTTCATATTTTTGAAGGGTTTCACAAGGTATAAGAAATTTAAAACCAATAAGAGTTATTCTGGGCAAATTATGCAATTGGAAGTTGGCCAATGTTATTGTAGGACAAATTCACTTGTGTCACGACCCAAAACCCCGCACTAGTCGTGATGGCGCCTCTCGTGAAGACAAGGCCAGCCAACTAACCCAAATAGTCCCTTTCAAAGTAGTTAAACATAAATGAATAGCAAAATACGACTTAAGGACATTAATTAACGAAGTTTACAACTCAACACAGCCCGACCGGGGTGTCACAAGTCACGAGCGTCTAGAGAAGTCTAAATACAACTACAGGGCCAACAATATACGGAATAAAATTTAGAACCAAAGGAAGTAATCCGGTGCCGCGAACGCTGGCGGTCACTCTGCTCAGCTACGATAGCAATACCTTCAACCAGCTTAAAACCCTTTACCGGGTGAACAATACCTGCATCTGCACGCGAGGTGCAG